CCACAAGATCTCTTTAGTTTGGCTCAATATATACATTAATCACTATTTTTATTTATTAATAAAATCATATTTTTAGGTATATGCACCCTTCATAATCCCAAAATAACTCTAACTAGACCATTGCTTTTGGGTTGGGTCCATATCTCATCTCTTCTCTACACTCATTTTCTTGATACAACAATCACAAAAAGTTTTGATAACACAAAAAATTTCATCACATGGGTGGATGTATTATATATATAGAGAAAAAGTAGAATGGTATATTGCCTTCCCAAAAGTAACCTAAGCAAATAGACAGACTAGACTACACTAAATATATCCAGAGAAAAAAGCTGTGCTGCTGCGAGATTGAAGAAGGAACACAAGTTCAGAAGGGACAAAGGGGCCAACTTCATTCATTTACTCAGAGTTGATGTTTTCTATTGTTAGCCCTTCTTTTCTTACCCAAGTGTTTGGAATAATAAGGGTGGGGAAGATGCATGCTTGACCCTGTTTCTAGTCTACGCCATTCTCAGACTCTAATTCAATGGCCATCTGACTTGGTTTGAAGTTTGTCGTTAAAGTTTGGATATGAAAGTCCCCCCAACCAAATTTATATAGTCAAGAGACTGATCAAACTTTCAAGGTTTCACACCCATATTTCTTTGGACCAATATTAATTTCTACGGGAAAATCCATGCATTGCAACATTATGGCAAGCTCAAAAAATATTAATATACTTTTATACCATAGTAATATTTCTCTCCCTGGCTACGTGATATGTCATTTGACGAGAGAGACAGATTATTGTTATATACAATTGATTGCAGGTAATAAAGTTTCTTAACTACATTGATGGGATCCATGTAAAATCCATCTATGCAAATGAATATCGTATTGATAAAATATGTGATTAAGGATAAAGTGTGGTATATGTAATATTAGCTTATACACATTTGCTTCTCTCAAGTCTCAATCCACATGGCCAGGTGCAATGCTTGGTTCCTTAATCAGCGGATCACTAAATTACTTTTGAAGTTTATGGCTTTTGTACTAGTGGCCAATACCATTGGGAACTTTCAACATAGAATTGTGGTTACTACTACCTCCAAATTGGCCTAGAAGTTAGAGAGAGAAAGTTCATTTTTCATGAGGATAATGATGAATATGAGGATGTCTTTGAAGAGAAAAAGAGTGGAAAAGGATCAATCCGAGATTGTTGACTCAATCTTTCTTTTATTGGGCCTTTTTGAAGTCACAAGCCGTCTATTTTAGGGTGTTTTCATTTTTTAGTTTTTATATCTTCATTCAAACTTCCACAATCTTTCCACCACTTGGAGTGTGAAGAATATGAAGTGGCAGTGGCACTCACACTCACAAAAACCTTACCCTTTAAGCCTTTACCATGTCCTTTTTAATTTGATCGATCCTCACTTTCTTTAATCTTTTGAATGGAACATAAACCGACCCACCGACTCTATGGCCCTCTAAAATTTCTCAACTACATAGATAAAGGCCAGCCAGCCAACCAACCAACCCAAGCTGTCCTGCCAACATTGCATTATCCTTATGCAAATGTACTCGGTGATTAGGCAACCATTAGAAATAAGTAACACAATAAATAGTAGTGAATAGGAGACACACCATGAGGACTTTTTACCAAAAAATGAAAAGAAAAAGCATCTTGCCAATAATATTATAGTGAAAGTCCACGGAGTCTAGCGAGTGAAAAAGGATCTTGATTTGCAGACTAGTCATGATTGTTGGAAATGGGAAAAAAAAAATTAAAGAAGTGTAAGATGGAAGAAAAGCAAGGTGCAGGAGATTCTACCAACTTGCTTATATATCTTTGGTTGTTGGTTTTACTCATACATGCACTTTTCGATATATATATATATATATATATATATATATATTTTTCTCTTTATTTTGCCTTTAGATGTGCGGAATATATGTGGTATTATAAGTAGAATATATTAGTATGATAAGTTTGACATAATGCAGTGGGAATTCACGGCTGAAATGGATCAAAAAATTAAGAATAGAATATATATATAATATCTTTACGTGTAAAATTTAATGTAGTAGCTAGTAAAATCAGCAAAGTATATGCTATATGGACATCTTTAGTCAATACCTGAGTTAGCTTTTCTTGCTTTCTAAAGGTCTACAGAAACAAAGCTGCGATATTATTGCCCAAGAAAGCAAGAAAACTGTTTCGCTCTTTTTTTTTCTTTTTTCTTTTCTTATTTATAATTTTTTTAATAACCGTTGGGTATAAATCAAACAAATAATATATTATAAAAGTAATAACATAAATGTGCCAACGGAGTCTAACTTAAGGAAAAAAGGATCTTAATTTGTAGAGTAGAGATTTCAGGTTCGAACTCTCATGACCTCTTGGTTATAAACTTGTGTGTGTGAGGAACCCCATTCCCTGTAATTTAAAATATTACTTATCCTAAAAAAAATATAATCAAATGTAAGATGACATCTAAAGAGAATACCATGGTTTATTATTTTTGAAAAAAGGCAAATTCGTCATGCAAGTTTTTTGCGAGAAGTCTTGACTTTGATCATAACTTCCCAGTTCTTTGTTACTAACTCTTCTAGAAATTACTAAGATCAAAGCAAGTTCCACGTCATTTTGGACACTAACTTTAGATCAACAAAAAAAAAAACATAAGCTGATTAGTTGTACCAACTAGCCTGTAGTTTAATCGTAGTTTTTTTTTCTTTTCTCAATAATGTTGAAAGAGGTTTCGAGTTTCAATTTTCCAACCCTCATTCGTAGAAAAAGAAAAGATCAATATGACTCCTAAAGGGGGAGAATAGTACTAGAGTGGGACAACACAACAGTTCCAATTACTAGACTTTCTAATTACTCTTTTGAGCTAATTAATCAATTCTTTCATCCTCCCTCCCAACCCTCTTTCTCACCACAGGTTCCACAGGTATATTCCTAACATATGTTTTTTTTAAATTTCCACATGGAATTGATGGGTGCAAGTTGGCTTTTCCTAGAACTAGGAAAAATATTACAAGAGGCTCAGAATATTTCTTGTGAAAAGCCACATCTATTGTCTATATCACTCAATAATTTTGTCACAGTAATAAGATTGAAAATTGAGTGATCAGGAAAATGAATGCTCATAGCATGTTGTAGTATAAGCTGTAAGCTGTTACATGGAGTTAATTATGATTTTATGCATGGTAAATAACAGATTCGACTACTAATAGTAGCGAGATCTTTTATGATAAAACTTTTATGTAGATAATTAAATTGAGAATAATATCGGTCTTGAATAACAGATTTGACTAAATCTAGAATATTGTAAGGGGCATCCATCAGTTTCATGAGACACTGGTGGTTGGCTCTTTAACCCTTTTTGCGTAAGTTTATAAAAATGCAGTCCCACAACAAAGTGTGTACTCAAATGTTATTTAAATCCCCACAATTGACAATTTTCAGAAAAATTGTTCCTGAAAATTATGTGTGGAGCTTCTTTGAATATTCATTTTGTTGCTTTCTTCCCTTTAATTTTCCCTTTTTATAAAATATTATTCTTTTCTCATGACAAATATTTGCATGCTTCTATTGCTATTGAATAATCAAAACTCCGGGACCTCAATACCATATAATAATTTCTCCTGCTCCTCTCAACCCCAAAAATATCCTAAGAAAACAAGTTAACTAGCAATTGTGTCCTATTTTATTTTTGGTCCTTGGTGTTAGCTCTACCTTAATGACAACCCATAGCTAGCCTTTTAGTTATTTTCTTCCTCATTAAATTTTGTTGGTGATCTAGCCAAGTATAGATATTCCCTAGCTAAAAAAAGAAAAACCCTAATTTAGGCAATTTTCTGTTTTGTGTTTTCTTTTGCCAAATAAGCACAATTTTTTAAGGGAAAACGCCTTTTTATATATAAAAAATGAAGAAGTAAAACTCTCATAACCACCTCCTTCATTCTGTAAAAAAAACTCTCATAATAGAATTTTTACTACTCAACCCTATCCTACAAACAGTAATAATCCAAAAGAAAGAAACAGGGTGGTCTTGACCCTGGATTAGCATCCTTATTAAAAGGTCAATTAAGTAGCTAAGATACATTAAGGTATTCATTAAGAATGGAAAGAAAAAAAAAGGATGAAAACTGCCATTTATGTCATTAAATACAATTAAATGAATATGACCAAGACTTTCATAATTTCAACTGAGCCTGCTCTGTCTGGGCAGATACTTTGGGTCACGCCAAACACCAAACACCAAACGATCATAATAGTCTCAGTAAAACAAGGATTTCCACTCATGGAAAACAGAATTTAATGGGAAAATTCAGATTTTTTTTTCTTTTTCTTCTTCTGGGTAATCAATGAAAAATCAGATTCATTTCAAGTCATTAAATGGTGTCAAGCTCTGTTTCATATCTCACTGGTTTGTGCAGATCTCTGTAAGGTATGTAAAGCTTGCAACAGGAGTATCAGACAGACAGAGACAGAGGCAGAGTTGTACAGTAGTGGCAGGCAAATAAGAGAATTAGCTTCCCCCTCATCAACTGTGAAATGTCAGTTGTAAAAGAGGTGGGATTTGCTCAACCTCTTTTGAGAATGACCTTTTCTCAATTAAATAATAATAGTAATATTTAAAAGAAAAAGAAAAAAAAAGCTAGAGCAGTTAGCTTGAACTGCTTGGAAACAGAACACATGACCAGAATGAATGCTAGTTTTTTTTTTTCCAGCAACAGAAAATGAACAAAACCCAGAAAAATTTGAAGTAAACATTTGTAGTTCCTGAATTGTTGGATGTTGTGAGAAATGAATTACAGTTAGAATTATGAAGGAACAATTTGATGAACATACAGCAGAAACCATGTAATCAATCCCATTTGGCATAACAAGTTTGGCAGAACAACAGATCCAAGCAAAGCAATACCCAAAAAACTTGACAAAATCTTGTACCTTTTGATTCAAAGCTATTCCATGTGTGTAAAGAAAACTCATTTGGCAATTAACTTCTTCTTCATCTTCTAATGGGGTTCACAAACTCAGCATCAGAAACTGCAGATAGCTCAATTTGGCTGATCTCATCATCTTCAACAGGAGCAGGAAGATTAAGATCTATCAAATTGTCACCAAGCTTGTTTAAATTTTTCACATGGGTAGCAGCAGCTGCTGCTGAACCAGTCACATGGGATCTTTTGTGCCCACCAAGAGCTTGACCAGATGAAAAGACTCTAAAACAAACTGGGCATTCATGGGTTTTCCTTTCTGCTACAGAAGAAGCACCTGCATTATTTTCTTGCTCCAATTCATGATCATAGATGGGGTTAGGATTGGAAGCTTTGATTTTCTTGTGGCTGGCTCTGTGCCCACCTAAAGCTTGATAGGATTTAAACACTTTGTTGCATGTTTCGCATTTGTACTTCCCTCGAGTAGTTCTAGTTCTTGGAAACTTCACCAGCTGTTCCTCGGATTCATCACTGTCCTCCATTGATCTTTCAGCTTCATCGTCCTGATCTTGTTCTTGTTCGTGTTGATGTTGTTGTTGATGATGTTGATGATGTTGTTGGTCTTGTTTTTTCCATTTGTCCCTTGAGAGCATCATGAGGCAAAAGGCAACATCTTCTTCTGTGGTGGCATCAGAAATTGAACTAACCGGTTCGGGCTCGAAAGAATCGGTCTTGCTGCTGCTAATGACTTTGTTTTTTAGCTTAATTTTCTTCAAAGCTTCAAGCTTTTGATGGTGGTGTTGGTATTGATGATGAAGCTCTAACATGGCGGATTTCCGAGTCCTTTTGGATCGTCTCCGAGTTGGGTTCTTAGACGACTCAGTCTCACTCTCTCTATCTTGAAGAACAACAGAGCCAGCATCCACAGCAAAAGAAAACTCAGGATCTACTAGCCTTATGCTTCTCTTTGGATTCTCTCTGAGCCCATAAAACATACCCTCTTCCCCTTCTTCCCCTTCCTCCCCATGTTCATCTTCTTCTTCAGAAGAAGATGAAGAAGCTGAAGCAGACTCTGCAAGTTCATCAATGAGAAGCTGGACTTGGTCCTGGTTCCTACCTGGTGGTACTTCTTCCTCCTCCTCAAGTTCTGGTTTTGCAGGAATTGGAAGGTTCATCATATGAGACCTCATGTGACCCCCCAACGCTCTGCCATTGGAGAAGCTCCTCATGCAAAGCTTACACTTATGCCTCTCCATTGTAATTAACAAAACCCCAAAACTCTGATCAACCAAAAACAGAGCCCAAATTTTTTTTTTTTAAACAGAGCAAATTTTTTTCTGTACCTTTCTTCCCCTGAAGAGCTCACAAGCTCTTCTTTCTTTCTTGGAGAGAAGATAGTGGAAACTACAAAAAAAAAGAGTAGGTGACAAGCATTCCTCCACCAAGAGAGAGATATATACAAAACTACAAATTTTTTTCCTTATAAAGAAAATGAAAAATCAGAAATGAGTTTTTTTTTCTTTTAATTTTTGATTTATTTTATTTAATTTATTCTCATAAAAACGGCAAAAATTACAATAAATTAAGGTTTTAATCAATTAAAAGCGTATCCATGAAAGTTGAAACTTGAAAGAGAGACATGTAACATGCGAAGCTTGCCCGTTTCTGTATTTATTCCCTTCCCCCCCTCACCCTCTCTCCCCTTTATTTTTCACCGTTTATTTCACTTTCCCAAGATGCCCTTCCCGACCCGTCATTTAATGGCCAAGGAAATTGGATTTCCCCTTTTACTTTAAATGGGTATTTCTGGGAATTTACGCACTAGGTACCAGAATAAACCGGTGGCTTCCTTGTCCAAGTCAAGGAAACTGCTGGGTTTGTTGTAACGACGAAGCTGAATGAAAAACCATGGTGTCCTCCGAAGGTAAAAACGACCCCACTTGTTTTAAACTCACCAACCGGTGACCCGAAAACAGTAACAGACACAAAACACCCACGTGTCGTGATGGTAGCCCATCAACACCTTGTGTGCCCCACATGAGCTAGCAATTTCTTTTTTTAGTGAACAGTTACTAAAAAGGAGAAAACTGAATCGGATTTTATTTTTATTTTAAGATTCTGTAACCTTTTATTTATGCCGGTGATGTTAGGGCCAACTGTCAGTGTGGGTAGCTTTAGCATGCCGGCTGGTCCTTTTTATGTACTTATCTAATTTATTTTCACTGATTTCCTGTCAAATAAAAATTAAATGAAAAACCCATAAAAATAAATAAATAAATTTTGTTGGGTCTTTGTGGGTGCTGATTGGTATTAGTTTTCCATTAAAATTGGATCTTTGGTTGAAACGTGTGATGGGAATGAAGGGTGGAGAAAAGAGTAGGAAACTAACCTCCTTTTGAGAAGGGAGTTTTGTATGGGGGGAGAGAGAGAGAGAGAGATAGCAAATGCCGTTTTGTTAGGGGCTTTGTTTAGACCAAGTCCTCCTCCTACGTGCTCCCCACAATTTGGTTTCTAATAAGTAACAAATCCCTGCCCAAGTGGGCATTTTAATTACACATTTTATTTTCTACACAGTTGGGTAAACGAAATTCCCATAAAATTCAATGGCATTTCTCTTGTAGGGATATAAAGTATCTTTGTTATCTGTTTGCGTATAGGAGGGATGACCATTGGAGTTGTTGACATTGTTAGACTTGCCGACTGCAACTGCATGTAATTTAAAAAGTTAGGCCAAGTGAAAGCTAAGTGGTGGCAATTTAGAGATCTTTTTGGAGAAAAATAGAAATGAGTGGTAGTATATTCCAGCTAAAAGATGGTCTTGCGTCTAAATTTGTATTGACACTCTGTCATGTGACAGGAACAACATTATCGAAGTTAACATATATCCATGTTATGAGTAATATAGGTAAGTATCGACGCAATTCAACAATATATCAATTTTAGTACTTATTTATCACAAATTGAAAAGAAAAGAAACCACTGGGCATTAAGCTTTGCATCATTTTATTTGTTTTAACATGTGCTACTCAATTAGATAACGTATCTAAAGTTTAAGAATATTATTATATTAGTAATACGCGAATGATCGCATATCTAAGTTAAGGTAGTTAATCGAGACAGTGTACCAGTACCCTTGCACTTCAGTCCGATTCCCTCCTTTCGTGACATGAATGACCATTAAGTGATAAACACAGTGCTCTAGGCTCTGAAACAATGATGGTAAACAAGTAAAACTAGTATATGGTCCAAGCGTCCAAAGGCCAATTAGGTGTAACCTAATAGCGGCATGGCTAGGTACTTGTTTTATGGTTGCGGTTATTACAATTGAAAAAGTGGTACCTAAGAATTCATTGCATAACTTTAGTGATCATATAGACTTTGGTACTAGCGGCGGATGACTAGCAGTAACAATCCATCGTTCATGTTTCAGCAGTGAAGGCAAACAATAATTGATTTTTGAAGTTTTATCTATCACTAAACTGGTGATTTGTGTCGATTTTTAAGCTAGAAAAATGTAGCCTTGGATAGAATTAAATTAAAATGCAATTCATTTGATTCGGTTCCTTTTGGTTGGTTTATAAGGAAACTACCTCGAACCAAGTCACATATATTAACCACCTAGACTAATTCTATTTTTACAAATTTTTTTTTGGCCAAAGTTAGAAAGAGGAGGAGAGATATCTCACACACATACAGACCAGGTGTCATGGAAGTTCGAACCTGAGACCACTAATCTGCAAGTCGATGCTCTTTTCCACAAGACTAGACCCCGTTGGCAATGTTAACCACCTAAACTTAACGTTGTATTACAATTTGGCACCTCCGACCACTTCTATCCAGCTTTTTCAAGAGCAAACTTGTCATATCTAGTAACTAGTAGGGTACCTAGATATATCTTCCTTACAGTGAGCTTTTTTTATAGCGTCGGGACATTTCCATCAGTTAGTCTTCACTTGAGAACGACATCTATGTCGTCCTCTTTTCTTTCTTGTGCTCCAGTTTAAAATCTTTTGTGGACAAAAACCCCATTTGATGGGTTGAAACATTGGAAAATATATCATGATGAATCTGTTTTCTTCGTAAAGTTCTTTGTTAGTTTTATAATCTTTGGTAGAAAGATCCCTAAAGATGGGCCATGATCACGGGCCTTTACAGGTTTTTATTTTTTATTTTTATTTTTTTATTTTAATTTTTATAATTTAAATTTAAATAGAAAAAAGAGATATTTAGTTATATACACATTCTTAGTACTAGCTAGTGATATAGATAAACTCTATATTATTTAATTTTTAGGCTTAATTGCTACAGTGCACCCTGACACATTAGTCAAATCCTACTTTACCTCCTTAAAGTTAAAGTGACCCACTTTTCTCCATTGACCAAGGTTTGATGTTCCACATTGCCCATACCATCAACTCTTTCCAAAAATCCGTTAAGTTTGATGATATGGCAGGGGTATTTTAGTAATTTTGTGAACCTAGGTCATTTACTCACCAATTTGAGTGGGTAATGTGGCAAAGTGAAGCCCATCTCCAACATAGATTAAATAAATAAATAATTAATTATTTACTTAAAAAAATAAAAATACAAACATAAAATTTTAAAATTTTAAAAATTGAAATTTTTTTTTCTCTCTCTCTCTCTCTCTCTCTCTCTCTCTCCCCTTATTCTTTTTCCTTTTCTTCAACCTCATGAGACTCTGTAACTCAGTCTCTGACGCGTCTCTATGGCCAACCCAACTCAAGCTTTAACCCAACCCCAACTGCTCCAAACCATAACCAAGCCTCTTAACCGCAGCCAAAACCCCACAACTCCAACCCCTTAAACCCTACATTCCTTACCTCACGTAGCCCCTCCTCCTCCTCTCCATCCTCAGCTCCAAAATCCTAGCAAACAAGCCCATCGCTCTCCTCTCATTCTTCCAATAAACCCAAGGCCAAGCTTGTTCCTTAACCCAAACCCCTCACCCCCTCCTCGCGCTCCTCCACCCTCTCCTCTGCCACCACAAGTACCCCAATGCCAAAACCCTGCTACGAAACGTCATAGCACAAGAATAGTATGTGTACTTTTTGTAAAATAAAAAATGATGTATTATTCGTGAAAACATGTACGTGTATAATACATGAATACTATGCATATTTTTCCATATAATTTAGAAGTGTATGAAAAACTAGAGTCTTCTTCAGAAATATGTACATACACATATATAATACGCAAATTGAACAAGTTAGTATGGTACATCTTAATTATTACTCTAGTAAAATGGTTATGAGGATAGAGTTTGGTGGCTTATCACTATTCCGAAAACTCTAGCTGTTACAATGTGGACCAACATTTTCTAATACTCCTCTAAACTTGTGGGTATTTCTCCATCATTAGATTCCACATGTGAAATTAGTTTATATCATGAGAATGACCAGAAAGATAAATCATTCATAAATTAATGAAAACCACTCTCCAGTCGCAGTATGTGTTTTGCTTTATACATACACACAGAGGCACACTTTTGAATTCAAGGCCTTGGCCAAATTCTAGTAAAGTATGAATGAATAGAAGCCAAATGCAATTGCCTAATGGCTTAGAAACTTGTTTACTTTCTAAGCCAAGTGGACGAAACTTTGAAAAGTCATACCTCTAATGGCAGGCAGTGTGTGGAAAGATTCTACTCAAAGAATAAGACCCCTTTAATTTCCGTGACTGAATGCCTGCCCTTAAATATGAATGCTAGGCACCGAAGAGGCCTTTTGGCAAGTCTCAATCATTAAACCCTAGAAATTTAAGCAAACCAATAAATAACATTTTTGCCGTGAAATCTTATGGTGATCATCGAGTAGCTGGTTGGTGAAGAAAATATATGATGGTTTTGCTACCAACTCTGTCGAGCATATCTTCGGTGGTAGTGGTACTAGAGAGTGGTTGTTAGCTAGGTCTTGACAGCACAAAGGGAGCTGTTACTTTTTTCTTTTTGGGGCTAAGTAACCAAGCAAATGGACTTGATATATATGACTCATGATGAGAGGATGGTTAATGTATTATGTATGTAGGTTTATTCGAGTTTGTGTATGAATTTGTAAAATTATGAACTTCGGGATCAAGTTGAAAATAATCTAAAATATCTCATTATATATATTTGTTTGAATATGTGATCCAAGTGGAATGAATAGATGATCACCATAAACTTTTACTTTCCTTGCTACTAAATCATTAAATTGGTGATTTAGATATAGATTGTCGAGAAAGCGAAGAACGAGAGTTTTATTTTTATATTATGAATAAATACTTTACTATTTCATGCCAAGCAGATTTGATCAAATCTGCTTGGCAATGGCATGAAATAGTAAAGTATTTATTTTGTATTCATATATTATTGTGCCAGAGAAATTACACTAACATATTGTGTTCAAAATGCATAACTCTAATAGTAGCAAATTATTTTAGAGTCAACCCTCAATTACAAAAAGACCTCCTGACATATAATCGGGTCCCCCTAAAAGAAATTTGTAACACTCAATCAACCCCATGAACTCTTTTCCGTGTTCCGAAATTCCTTACAACTTCGTTACAATTTTCCCTTTCTTTGTCTATGTGACAACAATTTCAAGCTAAAAACAACCAATAAAGTCAAGCTTCATGCCCAAAAATCAGAGAAGCTTCATCCTTCATCGATCAAGCTTCAAATAGTATAAATACTCAGTTCAGATACATCAATTGTCAAGGATGAGGTCGTACCATAGCATACCTGAAATTTGAAATACTTGAATAAAAGCAAAGGGTTTTCTTGAGTAACAGGTGATGTTCATGTTCTACTTTCATTCTCATGAAGTGAATCAAGAGAAATCCAACATGCACCCAAAAAACTTGAGACCTGATCACAATATGTATCAAATGATCATGAAAATTAAAACTAAACTACTTTTACAACGGACCAATACACCTACAATAAAGTCATACTAAATATCAAACTCATCATAAATATAATATATATTGTCATCACCATTTATATAAGTTGTACCTGAAACCTCCTCTAATCAAGTTGAAGTAAATACCACTCGATCAAAAGGACCAATTTCAGAATATCCAATGTATTATCTTGAAAAGCATTAATATGATACGTATATAACATTAATATGATACATATATAACATTTCATGTAGTCACGCGACCCAAAAAAAAAGTAATTTGGAGAACAAAGTGCCAACTTGATCATAATTTGAGGAGTGTATATGTAATTGACTTTTTTTCTTTTTATGTCAGAATTTTTTATTTTATATTTTTTCTGAAACCAAATCATTTCAAATATGAGCAAAGTAAGATCCCAAGACACGTCGGGAAAATTCTAAAGAGATTAAATTGAGTAGGTCCGATTGTGACCACAAAAAATGGTGGGCCCCTCGTGACCAATAGAACCGCCCTCGTCTTTGTAGGTCAGCACTTAGCCAACCTAAGGGCAGTGCGCGAAACATGTTAGCACAGCTTTTGTCCACCTGACACGTGGCAAACCCAGCAGAGCCTATGTCAGTCAAACGTTTTTTTTTTATCCATCGAGGCATACCTTACATTTTCATTTGTATTTTTGGGAAAAATTTAGCAAGCACCTTGAACTTTTGGACATTGTTCCTCTTTGCCCTTGGAATTTCAAAATGGTTTTGAGTCTTCTACACTCTCTGTTCTTGCCAATGTCCTTAAGACTGTCAATTATGTCACAATATTCCGTTAGTTTCCATCATGTGCAATTCACATGGTTAAGTTTTAAGAACATATGCATCAATTGACATCGCAACCGGCCACGGACCCAAATTTGGGCATTGAGAGTTTAGTTGAGTGGTAAAACATGAAGGAAAATTTTAGTGTAAGGGGCATAGTGAAGTTGGATCAATAAAACAAGTCCCAACTTGAATGGACGAAATGACCTTTAGTTTGATAGAATAATTGACATAACTAACAACAGGAGAACATCGGCATGAATTGAAAGTTTTGGGGGTTTCAGAACCAAATTGAATGTTTTAATGTTTGAAGGACGAAGTATTGAGGGGGCATTCCTAAAGTTTCTTTTATTTTTGTTTCATATCGAATGAGGATACATTGAACTATTGAACTCTTTCTCGTAAACGGGGATAAATATTTTCCAAAATCCTAACCTTAAACCAAATGTGATAATCTGCTGATAATTTTAATGTTGATGTTGTACTGATGTATAAACCCATGTACTTTTGTATTTTGAAGTTTTTTTAAATTTTATTTTAAGATTTATGATAAAAAGATAATTAAATGAAAGTTTTAAAACGAAACATTCTTAGACATGAGTATAAGACCTGCACCAAAAACATCAGCTCATTGAGAAAGAAAGAACTAAACTATAATTATATTCTCCTTTTTTTTTTCTTTTTTTTTTTGGAATTCTAAAGCAGATTACATAGAGGTCCCCTTAGGAACCCAATATTCATAATTTCACAAAGTTTGTGTGTGTGGTGGTGACTGACACTAATGAATTCTTCCTAGATATCATGACAGTAGTCTTGGAGCTTTTTTTTTATTTTTTATAATCAAATAATTTTTCAACAAGAAAAACTATATAGAAAATTACAATGTTTTATTAGAAGTATAAATGCCATGCATATGCATGAAATGAGATTGGGGCTTAATTAAATTGACCCACTATAATGTACATTTAACAATTCAAAAGGAAAATTTAAATTTTAAAAAGAATCTTGAACTATGAGCTTGTTTTGTTATATAATTACAGTTTTTCTTGATACGTACAAAAAATCTTTGAGGAGAAAAAAAAGAAGAGAGAGAGATAGAGCTGAGAAAATCTCACTTTCCTTGAGATGAAATTATGGTTCAGCTCCAACATCAGTTGTTGAACCAAGCCCCACCTGCAACCATGGTGAGGAGCCCCCACTGGTATTGATATCCTTTAGTTCACTTAGCTTTGCTAACTTCACCTTACTGTCTGCTTCATCAACCACATTCTGCATTGAAAAATCATTACTAGTGTTATTATTATTTGTATTGTTGTTGTTGTTATTGTTGTCGTCGTTGTTAATGTTGTCATTGTCGTTTTGGTGGGAGGAGTGAAGATGGGGATTGTCCTCCTCTTTTGTCCCAATCCATGGTAGTAAAAAGAAATCTGTCGAGACTTCCAAGCTTGATTGATTGGGACGTTCTCTTCTTCCTCCACCATTCTCATCTGCCGGAGCTGGAAGGTTAAGATCAAGCTTCAGATCAAGTGGATCCGAAGAACCATCAAACTTAGGCCTTTGGTTCATCATTTGCTGCTCCAAACTTTCTTGAAACTCATGGAACTTGGCTAATGTAGACGTGTCTGTCGCGGCGTTGGACGTGATCCAATGGCACCTCTTGTGTCCGCCCAATGCCTGCCCGGAAGAGAAAACCCGGTGGCATATCGAACATTCGTGCACCTTCGCTTTTCTCTTCGAGGTATAGGCTGATGGGGTGTTAGAGCCGTGGTCGAATTGTAGGGTTGAATTAGGTTTATTGGGGAAGAATTCTTCATGTGTGATGACATCATCGTCGGCCATACTATCTTCGAGGTGATCGAGCCGGGCGGCAAAGCACCCTTTAACCTTCTTGTGGCTAGCCCTATGACCTCCCAAGGCTTGGTGGGAATTGAACACTTTCTTGCATGCTTTGCACTCAAACAAGCCTTTGTTGGCGACCCCTTTGGCCTTATTGTTGTCTATGGCCACCCCACGTGACATAGGAGCCATGATGTTCATAGGGTCTCTTCTTTCCTCTTCTTTGCTAGCTGAAGCACAAGACTCCTCCGGCTCAGCCTCCATAGGATCAACCGTGGCATTGGACAACATCATTAAGCAATTCGCAAGGTCTTCTTCCTCATTTGATGGGCAGTGTGAATTGAAATTGCCCACTTTGGCTCTCATCGATCTCTTCCTTTTCGACCACCCACATCCTCTCCGACCGCTGGCCCCCTCCTCCCCATCGGAGCCCGGGGAGGACATGAGGGGTTCGGCATCTATGGAGCTATTACATTTTCCATGTTCAAGGAAAGATTTCCAAGACAAGAACTCTTTGCCGCAATTCTCACAAACCCGGCAGCTCTTTAGGCGATTAGGGTTTGTTCTTAGGGCATACATGCACTTGTTGGTTGATGGAACATTGCCGCCGAGTTTGTCCTCCCAATCGCTCGGAGGATCGTCGTCGTCGATGTGACCTTCATCCCCTATTCCATGTGCCCTCATGTGCCCTCCTAGCGCTCTACCACACCCAAATCCTTTCTTGCAAATTTTACAAAAGTGTTTGAAGCTTGATTGCTGGTCCACAATCAAAGCCATTAAATTAAAAAGACAACAACAAAAAAAACCCCCCAAAAACAAGGGAAAGCAAATTTAAAACGAAAAAAAAAAAGCTAGAGAAAAGGGGTGATGATGGAAGTGGGTCAAGAATGGAAGAGAAAAGGAAGGTGTTTGTTCTTGTAGTGTACGGAATCGTGGGGTTGTATGGTGATAATTAGGAGTTTCTAGTCCTAGTTTTTAGTTGAAAGTGTTGGTTTGGATTGAATTTGTGGATATGGGAGAGAGAGAGAGGGAGAGGGGGAGAGAGAGAGAGAGAGACAGACACAGAGAGAGAGAGAGAGAGAGAGAGAGAGAGAGGGGAGGGGGGGTGTGAGAGTTCTTGATGAGCTTTGGATGTGATGACATTGTGACAAGTGGACGGACGGTTAGATGGGTAGAGACTTTTTCTGTGGAGGTGGCGCCGCCGAGTCAAAGCCACAACCAAGGGATGGACGTCCGTACATCAAGAGTACGTTTTTGAGTTGTGTTTGTGTGAGTGTTTGTTTGTTCGTTTGTGTGTGAGAGTGTGTGTGTTTGTGAGAGACTTAGAGAAAGAGTGTGTGTGTGTGTGTGTGTGTGTGTGTGTGTGTGAGGGAGTGAAAGAGAGGAAAGGAGAGAGTGGTTCTAACTGCCATACCTATTCATATCCCTTCAATTCCAAGCCAAGAAAACTAATCTATGCTCCTCCTTCTTTGTCGGTTGGTTCAAGCTGCTTTTCCACACATTAAATTAATTATTTCTATTATAGATAACTAATCTTTTTAATTAATGTTTGTTTGTTTCTTTTTTCTATTTTCTGAGTTGCCCAAATACAGAATATTCCCTTTAACTTCAGAAGAATGCTAACGATAATTAGGCATTTGCTCCTAAACTTAGATGTCAAATAACTGGATCAGCTATTTGAAGTGACACTAATTTTTTTCAATGACTTTTGTACATGTTATTTACTATTTTATTACATTGTATTTTTCCAATTTTCTAACAGCTAGTACTAGGGCGGAGTGTTAGGATCTCAAACTACGTATATTAAGCTAGCTTGTCATCAATCAAATCATAAAATTAGTTCAGTTGATCTGAGATTACCTCTTAACTTAATCATTCGACCCCAACTAATCACTCGTTTGAGCTTATTCCACAATCATCCCATAATCCAAACTACTCATTTCTTAGGGCATTATTTGTGATTATTAGTTACACAAAATTATACTCGAACCCCATGCATGTTTTATTTATTTATTTATTGTGTAACATTTTAGTTTACTATTTTTCCTATTTTTAAACAGGTTCAGGGTCGTAGAGCCAATGGTAAATGTTTCTTCATGTAATGTCTCCACCGGAGTGTTGGGATCTCAAGTGGGTATAATGAGCTTAGTTGAGTTCCTAATTAATGATTCAATCCCTTAATCTGTTTTCCTTGAGAAAATATACTATATGGTTTCTTAAGTAAAGAATCGTATTGAAATGAGAAAATTTAGCATCATCATGTCTTTCGTGCAAAAATCAGTATATGAATCCAATGTATTTTTTATTGACAAGAATTAATGGAACGATTCGAATTCGGAAGATAGTTGGTGCTTAGCATAATGTGATCAGTAAATATAGTACAAATAGCATTATTGAGGTCAGTAAATGTGGTACAAATAGCATTATTGTTTCGAAAATGACAATGAAAAAAATGAAAAAGCATAAGTAGGTCGTCATAATATTTCCATCATGTTAGAGTGTCCAATATAATCAGGTCAACTTTCCCTAATGTCAAAATTTTATGAATATTTGTATTGAGTAAAAAATTTTATATAACTAGGACCAGAATAATTCGTTGAATTTTGTAATTAAGGCATTATTAGTTAGAGTTTGTACTTCCTAAATAGTTGAGATCTCAACGCAACACAGCTTCTGGGTCAAGAAGGTGCACTATTACTATTTCAATTCGTCAGTGAACTCTTGGTTAAGCAAAGGCATTACTTTTCACAAGTGAAGTGGGATTAGTCACTAATCAATCATTTCTCATTCAGGCATTGCTTTTGCTTTGATTCAAAGCATTCACAGAAACAACTAGTAGCTGAAGTAGTGAGAGTGATTAAGCAAACAAGTACACGCTTAGTTCAGCCTTGGTGAAGCTCCCTTTTATACTTAAGTAACTTGACTGCACCTTACCTACAAATTAAAGCACTAAGAAAAAGTTGGATGGTCCATTATTAAACTCGACATGTATGGCATGCAGTTGGATGTGGGTTGAAGTTTAATGTCTTTTATAAATTTTTGTTACAAATTTTTAAATAATATTAAAAAAAATTAACTTAATTCATAACATGTGTAAATAAAATACGAAGTTTATTAAGTTATCCTACATATTATATTATTTTGATTAAGTTTAAAATGAGGTTAATAAGTGCATCAATTAAGTCTAAAAAAATAAGGGCCCAAACGGGTCGGACATAGGGTTTCAAATCCTAAGCCCCAACCCTACCCAATTCAAGAGCAGGTCAGGCCAAACGAGCCTAATTAAAGAATGAGTCGGGCCGGGCATTGGCCCATTGGGCCTCGATCTACTCACTTCGGCACATGGACTGTCAAATGGTGATGTATTATGAATGAGATAATAATGTTTAGAAAAATTTGAAATATATATAGGAAGGATCCTCTTAAAAAGGGGTTGAAAGGATCCTCTTCCCAATGGGAAGGGAATATTTATGAAAAGTTACCCAACTTGATACCGCAAGATCCATTCCCTTTGTTTGTTTGTTTTTTTTTTTGGCCAACGAAAGTGAATTTTATTAAAGACGAACATAAACATTAACATCCTCTGCAAGACAATTAAACAGCCAATCTGGGCAAACCAACACCCATGAATGAGCTCCTCGCTGCTTAGACACAAACAATGCTACCAAACGGGCAGCTCGATTACAAGAGCGACTAGTGTGCATATAGATGACTCGATCCAGCCGATCCGCTATCGTCTAGATGTCGAGCACAATGCTTTCCACCTCCACAGTCAGTCACTACCTTCTCCTTCCTAACATAGTAATGATCTCCTTTGAGTCTGACTCAATTACTATTTCCTTAAAACCTACTGTCCAGCTGGCGTTTATTGCCTCCCGAATGGCCAAGGCTTCTGCCATGAGAGTAGATTGACAAAACAATCCATCTTCACCACCCGCCTCCAGGAAGCAGCCAAGATCACCTCTACAGACCCACCACGCAATGTCTTCGCTGACCACGCTTGGCCATGTCTATCTTAAAGCACGATCATACGCCTTTGCCGTGTCTATCTTAACGGCCATATTATGGTCGCCAACACCCTCGCCGACTCGAGGGAATGTAACCACTAAAATATTGTACGTAATTTGCCTTTCTGCCACGAATGCCGATTGGTTTAAACTCACCACACGTGGAATTACTTTCTTTAATCAATTAGTAAGTACCTTAGATATGATCTTATACACCACATTACAAAGGGAGATAGGGCGCCACTGAGACATCTTCCGTGGACTATTCGTTGTCGGGATAAGCACAACATGAGTATGATTAAACTTTCGGAACACGCGGCCAGAATAGAAAAAACCACGTACCAGACCGATGACATCCATTTTAACCACCTCCCAAAAATTTTGAAAAAAAACTGCAAGTTTATCCATCGGGGCCGGTGATTTTGTAGCTTCATTTGGTTCACACTTCATCCTCTGTCACGTATTAAATGGGCCTGCTTTGTCTTTTATCTTCTACATTTTGCTGTGTAACTGTGTTTTATCTCCCTTTTTTTTTCATGATTCTCTTTTTTTGTGGCAAGTTATCTCCTTGTTTTGCCGAAAAATATTATGGTAATATTCATAATGAAATAATTAAAAACACAAAAGCAATTTATTAAACTTCAACATCACAACAAAAATAATTAAAAACACAGAAACAATCTAATCAATTTTATAGAAGCATCCCGCCACAATTATGCTATCTTACATGCCTTCAAATTTCGGATTTGTCGATAAACATCTCTGGAACAATACCCAAATGTCTCAACAATTTTACTAAAAGGAAGTTCAAGCCAAACTATCCAGCATTCCTATAGAATTCAGTTCGGAAAATCTTTATATGATTTGCCTTATGATGATGAAGCATCTTTAATATGGAAGTAAGGTCTAAATACAAAAATACACTTTGACTTCTAAAGAGTATTGATCTCTCAAGCAATAAGTTGATTGGAGAGATTTCTAGTGAATTCACTTATCTTGTTGACTTGATTCCTTTAAACCTGTCAGAAACCAATTAATAGGTCACATACCTTCATCACCTATTCCACGTGCCCTCCTAGCGCTCTACCACACCCAAATCCTTTCTTGCAAATCTTACAAAAGTGTTTGAAGCTTGATTGCTGGTCCACAATCACAGCCATTAAATTAAAAAACAACAAAAAAAAACCCAAAAACAAGGGAAAATAAATTAAAAACAAAACAAAAGAAAATGCTAGAGAAAAGGGGTGATGATGGAAGTGGGTCAAGAATGGAAGAGAAAGGGTAGGTGTTTGTTCTTGTAGTGTACGGAATCTTGGGGTTGTATGGTGTTAATCAAGAGTTTTTAGTTGAAAGTGTTGGTTTGGATTGAAATTGTGGAGAGAGAGAGAGAGAGAGAGAAAGGGGTGTGAGAGATCTTGATGAGCTTTGGATGTGATGAAATTGTGACAAGTGGACGGAGGGTTAGATGGGTAGAGACTTTTTCTGTGGCGGTGGCGCCGCCGCGTCAAAGCCACAAGCAAGGGATGAACGTCCGTACATCAAGAGTACGGTTTTAGTTCTGTTTGTGTGAGTGTTTGTTTGTTTGTTTGTTTGTGTGTGAGAGTGTGTGTGTTTGTGAGAGACTTTGAGAAAGAGTGTGTGTGTGTGTGAGGGAGTGAAAGAGAGGAAAGGAGAGAGTGGTTCTAACTAACTGCCATACCTATTCGTATCCCTTCAATTCCAAGCCAAAGAAAACTAATCTATGCGTCTAAATGCCTGTCGTGAATCAAGTGATGATTAGTTGAGTTTCTAATTATTCAAACCCTTAAACTGTTTTCCTTGAGAAAATATACTTTATGGTTTCTTAAGTTGAGAATTTATACTTTCTAAATAGTTGAGATCTCAACACGACTTGTGGGTCAAGAAGGTGCACAATTAGTCAGTGAACTCTTGGTTAAGCAAAGACATTGCTTTCATCAGTGAAGTGGGATTAGTCACTAATCAATCATTTCTCATTCAGCCATTGGTTTTGCTTTGATTCAAAGCATTCACAGAAAGAAAAAACTAGCTAGTAGCTTAAGTAGTGAGAGTGATTAAACAAACAAGTACACGCTTGGTGAAGCTCTTAAGTAACTTGACTGCACCTTACCTGCAAATTAAATCACTAAGAAAAAGGTTGATGGTCCATTATTAATTCATAAACCGTATCATAACAAGTACCTAAAATTTCCATTTCCAGTTGCAAACTAGCTAATCATTTTCCCTTTTATTTAACTTAATTAGGGGTAACAACTAACGTATTGATTCCTAACTCAGTGAACTTGAAGGTGCTCCACTACACTTTTATTATTTATATTTGTGTTTGATAAAGCAGGAGATCTGGGCTGGATTTTAAGTTGCATTTGGATGCTCCTAGTCCCAGCCTAGAATTTTGTATGAGTTTAGGAATTTTTTTTTATTTTTTACAAGTGATATTGGGGAGGATGGATTCGAAAACATGACCTCAGATGTAGGAGTAATTACTTTTAATCACTTGAGCTACGAGTCCCTTATAATGATACTATAAGATTCAAAAGTCAGAATGAAAAGGATTTTATTGTTTAAAATTTTATCTGTTATTATTACTATCCCTTTGGCACTTGGTTTTTTTACATTTTTTTATTTTATTTTAAAATTAAAAAGGATAATGGGTAGTTGTGTTCTATAAAAATAGGACTCGTTATCTGATTTTGTTTTGATTTTTGATTTTTTTTTAAATGAAAAAGTATGAATTTACCATATTGTCCTCATGTAATTAATAATTTTAATTCTTAATATTTGTATTAACCAATGCCATTTTATGATCTTTTGAATTTTCACAATTATCTATCTTTTGCTATATATTTTTTTTTTTTTTTTCTTTTTTTTTTGGGTTGAACATGATAAGCACTTCTTGAACCTTATTGTTGGTGGTAGAATTCTATAGTGAGGGCCCCCTTAGGTGAGGCCTTATCCCTTGATTTTTAGATTAAATTGGTTAGCCGTTAAATCAGGTTGGTTAGTTTGATCCAATGATTAAAAGATAAAACCTTGTCTAAGGCCCTTAAGGTCCTCACTATAGAATGACTCATTGTTGGTAACCACAGTATGTTTTGGGCTAGGGTGTGGTAAAACAATCTCAAGGGTGGGGCATGGATTAGAGTGGTTTGGGCCTTGTTGATGCTTCTTGCTCATCGGTTAATCTCAACTCTCTCCTTTCCCCCTTTCTTTTAGAGCATTTCCAGCAATGCAGGCTGGGCTCGGGCTGGGAGGGTTTTGGGTCTTGTAGGCTTTTCCAGCAACAAAATGGAGCCCGGGCAAGAGATGGGGGCCAGCAGCCTGGGCTGGCCCGAGGTGAGGTTTGGCCCGAGTGCTTGCCTGCGGGCTGAGCTGACGTGGCTGGCTCTGGGCTCTTCGATCTCCTTTTTTCCAACAATTCAACGGCAGCCAATTTTTTCCCAATAAAAAGAAAAGAAAAAAAAATCGAAAAAAATACCCAAAAAAATACTGAAATTGTTTTCTATAAATACCAACCAATACTCTTCACTTTTAACACCAACAACCACTATTTTGTAATAAAAAATTGAAAAAAATACCAAAAAATTACTTCTTTTTTTTTTTTTTTTTTTTTTTCCTTATTTCCATTTTCAACATTGAAGTAAATGTCTTTGTCCTTTTACTTTTATTTATTTTTATATTACTCCATTTACTTAAGTTTACAATGTAAATAAGGAAGTACCCCCCATTTGGATTCAAATAAAAATACTAGAAAATCAAATTCCCACCAAATCAAAATATGAAAAATCAGTTTTAGTGCAAAATACGATTTAGGCTAAAAATGATGGCTCATTAAGTCAATATATACTTCATATTAAAATCCCATAAAAATCAAGTTTTCTTATTTGATGTGTAAGGAATAAAAGCCGCCAAAAATTTTCTTGGGAAAATGATTATTTCAAAAAACCATTTTCATACTTAGTCAATATTGCACCTCCGCTAAAAATCTTGAGAAAATGATTTTTCATACGTAGGAACCCAAAAATCTTATCCAAAAATATTATCCAAATTAATTGTTTAAGTAAACAAAGTTGTGAAAAAAAAAAATAGTATTTGTTATGGCAAGCCTAAACTGCTGGAAACCACATTTTGCTAAGGGAGGGTAGGGCAGCCACTATTCACGTGAATAATAACTGCCCTAGGGCTCCCCTTGCCATGGCAAGGAGCTAACTGGTGGAAGTGCTCTTAGAATCAATATGCATGGCATGTGTGATGAATGAGATAATAACGTTTAGAAAATTTTGAAATATAATATAGGAAAGTTAAATTTATAATTAACAATTATTATTTACAAAAAATATAGATTACCATATGTAGTTATGACAGTGTATCCATTCCTTTACACTTAAGTTTGAATCTCCCTCCTTGTATATATTAATTTGGAGTAATTAGCCTATCAACTGTAAAAGAAAAAAAAGGGTTTTTTTGGGGAGGGGTGGGGGAATCCCCTTCCTAATGGGAGGGGAATAATTATGAAAAGTTACCCAACTTAGAGCACAAGATCCATACCCACCCAAAATATTTTTAAGAATCCCAAACCTATGCATTTAAGAGAATGTTAATCATTAGATTAATCTAATGAACTTTAATAAGTCCACATCATCATAATTGTATTAAATTAAAAATAACCATTTGCGGCTTATTATATTTATCCAATCAATCTAAAATTTATAAATAAATTTTTTATTTTAAAAAAAGGTATCCCAACAGTAGCAACCATCCCTCCTACCCCCACTGCCATCCATGGCAGCTGCCCCTCACTCTCTTTTCCTCACACACGCACCTCTTTTTTACTAGGTTCTATAGTTGGGAGGCACATATAACATTTTTATATGTAGTATTTGTGGCCAATTATTTTTCAGTTATAATTTGCATATTTAATTGTAGTACTCATAAAATCTCTTCCTGGGCTTTGTTGAGAGTTAGTAATCCCAAATCGAGAGAGAGAGAGAGAGAGAGATGGTTGTCCTTGGGGGTAGAGGTGTCAAACGGGCCGTACC